AGGGCGACTTCTCTCCAATAGCAAGCTAGTCCAGAAGGAGCAAACAACGCAATGGTGGAGGAACTGCCCTGCTTTGGTGAAGAAAGCTATGTGGGATGCCTCCAGCTGTTTCTTGCCACAAGTATTGCAATGGGAAGCAAAGGACTTTCAGTGTTTGGATAGATAAGTTAGGCTAAAGCTAGTACACACTGCCCCATAATGCTGATAGCCCCCGTGACTGTAAACAGAAAGTCAGCATTTAAGACCATTCTGACAGAGCACACTTCAAAATAGTAACTATATTTACTTTTCAAATCTTTATTTTTGACTTTTCCTTCTATTTTCCCCTTTCTCATTCACTTGCACTCCCAAGCTCTCTTGGTCTTCTATAATGGAATTAGGCACGATTGCTGTCTACACGTGCATGTGGAGCTGGGACCGTATGCAGCCTCTACGGCACATGTATGTGGCTCGGGTGCTAGAAAGCACAGCGTAAGGGGAGCCACGCGGCCACATTCGCATTTAAAGAGCACGCAGAGGCAGGGCGGACTAAACGCAGAATGCAGTGCCCGAGTGGTGCCCGTACGGACGGGCTCGCGCGCACGGGGTGGCGGGGAGGGCAGGGGGCCGTGATGCAACAGGCAGAGCTGCGCGGCCTGTGACCTATTCCCGGCGCATTGTGACACTGAGGCGCCGCAGCAGGTGCCGGGTGCGCTGCCCTCGCCGCCTCCCGCCCTCCCGGCCAGCCTCACACACCAGCAACGCAAGCAGCAGCCGAGCCTGCCGCCGCCGATCGGAAAAGCAAGGGAAGACCACTGGAGACACCATGGTAAGAGGGGGAGTGGGAAGGCCATGACCATGCAGGGACCAGGAGCATTACCAGTGAGCAGGCTAAACGTAAGTTAAGGGGATCTGCCATGTGGTGCCATGTGGCACTCACAGAGGGAGCAGACTCCATCAGCTGTGTCAGCACCTGGAGTGAGCGGCCGTGAGGGACAGGGAGTGGGGCAAAAGGATTTGGTCAGGGCTCCCCTTATGAGGGGGAGTCCTCAGTGGTCTTGGCCCAGACCTTGCAACACGGTAGCTCTGCTGCTTCTGGACAGTTGCTCTATGTGGATGTTTACATTTTTCTCCAGTCCTTGGAGGCGAGTTTGCAAGCCCTAGCAGGGGGACTGATAGATGGTATGGATCTCCCTTCTAAAGGGGTGAGTGAAGGAGTAGCTGCCAATTCTGCCCCTCAATCCCTTCCTTCACTCTGAACAAACACAAACACAAGTCCCTACGCTAATGAAGTTACTTGGGAACATGTTATAAAAGCACTGGCATGAAATTGGTCACAACAGATTAATTTCAGTTTTGCACAGCTTCTGTGTTAAGACTGCCACCTGCCACCTTCTTCCAATAGACTGTGCCTTTAACTGTCACAACAGCAATAAAACTTGACTAAAATCCTGACTTTCAAGCTAGTGAAAAGAAATGGTATCTTTGTAAGTTGTACTAACTGCTTGTGAGCATGGTTAGAAATGTGTGACACAAAGAGGAATGATATAGATAATCCAACCTCTTTATGCTTAAAAAAAATATGCAGTCCCCATATATGCAATCCACCCCAATCCGGTCCTAAACTTTTCTCCAGCCCCAGTTATAATGTTTGAGTTCAGCTTAGTATAGTGATTTGGGTCACAGACCCCTCAACAATTAAATACCCCTGGCACTTAATTACCAAGTAAAGGGATGGGAAATGAGTGACAATATTTCACTTGAGCTGGTAAGTCACAGTAAACCAAAATTCTTTTCAGAGAGCCTCTAATGAAACTGTAAGACAAATGTGATCCTGGACCTTAGTTTTTTAGTACTCTCTGCTTGTGACTATGTTTTATCAACATGGGCTAGTTTTCATATGAGATAATACAAGATTTTGTAGTAATGTAACATTCAGGGGATTTTTAGAAATAAAAGAAACAAACAAAAGAAGACAGTTAATTTGTGGCTGTTTTAAATTAATTTAGCCCTGATAGCCTGATCGTTGTAGCCTGTTCACACCTCTACAGTGTGTGTGTGTACATATATATACACATACATTTCTGAATGTGTATGTACACATATATTTCATACATACATATGTTTCTGGAGTGTATGAAGTTTTTTGTACCTGTATGTATGTACGTAAATGAGTAAGACCACTTTTCAGATTTTTTATAAATATGCAAAAAACTCACAAAACCTCTTAGAAGGTGAAAAAGATGCTCTATCCTGTTCTCCAATCTATGTCTGTCTGTGAGTCTTATTTTGGTGCAGTAAACTATATAATTTTCCATGAGTAGAGTGGGAGGTCCAAAAGAGAGCACTCATTTCATGGACAACATACAGACTTCCACAGATTTGCAATGCCCTAAGGCAGACTAAGCCCTATGAATTTAGGGTTGTGAGTATGTTTCAAAAATAGCCGTGAATAACCAGAAGATTAAGATCTGCCTTCACAGAGAAAATACTTAAGCCAGGTAATATACCATACTTTGTTTTTTTCAATATAGAGTCAAAGACTTGTCAGGTTTAATATGATAATAGAAGACTGTAGACAAAGGACCTGGCCCATTAAAATACATAAGCCTCTTTCTATGGACCTTGATGGGGGAAAGATCAAGTCCAGAATTTGTAAGATAGATCCTAGGGAATTAGTTAGTGATGGGATGTGAAATGACAGTTTGGAGCAAGCTAGAAATTTATATATGATGTAGAGATCAGTTTATTCTGCCTATAACTCTGAAAAAAGCCCACACTTTTCCCTACTAAAATTTTAATATCTATTTTCAAGTCATTTATTATACAAAATTAGAAATCTCTTGTTACTTACTGTTTTCTCTCCTTGTCAGAACATTTCCAAATGATATCTGGGGTAGGTGATGGTGGGAGTGGAAACAGAAGTCACTGTAAAACGGCTGTGTCAAAGGCAGAGTTGAGATAATCCAGTGAAAGGGATACTGTTACAAACAAATGGAACCGAAAGCGGAGTTTAAAAGGAAATGAACCAGCTCCGTACTGTTCAACTGTAGTCCTGTATTAATTGTAATCCTACATTGAAATTTCCTATATTATCTTTTTAAGCAACATTTACTTGCTCCAATCGTGAAAAAAATGAAAGATTGATTATTCATTTTAGGAAGAGAGCAAAGCAGCTCTGTAGTTTCTAAATAATGCTTGGTTTCAGCTGTGGTTCTGCTCTAAAACATATTCTGTGAAAATATCACCTTGTTTCATTGCTGGATTTAAAGAAAACCAAGCTTTTCTTTCTTTTTTTTTTCTTTCTTTTTTTTTTTTTTCTAACAGCCAGCTTCACAGCTTCACACTGGGGTCTAAAAGAGAAGTAAGAGCCTAAATTGTTTAAAATCACCAGTAATTACATTCTGTAACCCCAAATATGCCCTCAGCATATTTGAGTAATCCTTCAGATTGCAGCTCCTGAGTAATCCTGGAGATTGCAGCTCAACTGCAACAGAATTTATGAAGCCTCTCCATCACTCAAATACTCAAGATAAATTTGCACAGTTTAGCTGAGAAAAGCAGGGATATGCAAGTACACTTGAGGATGTGTGACACATGCTGCTGCATATGAATTTGCACCTATCAACTTAAAAATGTTTATTGAATGGAAGTAATATATTTTCTTGAATGATTTATTTAAACTTGTTTTCTGTCTTCAACTGAATTTCTGAAAACAACTAACTGCAGCAAAAGTGACTTCTAAAATTCAGCTTTCTTCTGAAAAAATATCTGTTGCTTCCAAATATAAATACATAACAATTTAAGTAGAAAACTGATCCAGAAGTCTTTCTGAGAATAATTTTACGTGAGGACTTAGTTTTTGGAGAAGGTATGTGTGACTCTTACATCAGAAGATGATTTTGGAGGGTAGGCAACTGCAGAATAAAAAAAAAAAAAGTGTCAAAATCTGGTTTTAAGTTATTGAATATGTCTGGAGACTCCGGCCTTGAGGCCAGGTAGCACAGTTTGCTTCATATTTACACATCTGAAATCTCTTTCCCTCTCAAAAATCACAACGGTGGTCACCAACCCCCCTTGGCATGTTCTATCCTCTGAATGGTGCCCAAATATTATCTGGGAAAGCGTTAGCTGGCACAAGCCAAAACCACTCCAGAAAAGTGTGCTGAATTTCAGTCAGTTTAGATGACTGCAGGCCAGTGTTCAGTACTGCGACAAGACTCCTCCTTACTCATGAATATAGACAAGGCCTTCAGGATCTCAGAGATGGAATTCAGAAGACTGTGACTACAATTCTTTCATATCAGAACCTGAAGTTGAAAAACTCCATGTGATCTGACACTGTTTTCAGTCACAAAACTACTTTTCAATTCAATCTAAGTCAAAATTGTCAGGACCACTCAAAAGTTACTGCTTTATAATTCTATCTCATTTTATTGCAATGACATTACCTGAATAAACAGTGGACCTGCAAAGTAAAATCCAAGTCTGTTTAGGAGCTTGCAAAAATATTACTTTCCACTGAGAAAATCTGAAATCATTTCCTGAGATGAATATTGCTTAAAGCAGTCCTTCCAACTTAACCTGCTAACGGAGGGTGAAAGGACTGAAAGACATCACTCGTCTCGGGTTACATAAGGTTGAAAAATACCACATGGCTGTGTCAGGTTCCTGCCAGGAATAAAAATAAACTAAACTGGGATGTGTTCCTCAGCTGGGACAATCCATAGGAGGCAAACAGGGTTCTGTGTAACTGATTTCCCCCCTCTTTTATAATATACCCATACGTAACAGCAGATAGAACTCCCCTTTTTTTTCTTAAGAATTGTCCCAGTCTCTGGCCTATACTTGCAGAGTCTGATGGTAGTCCATGGGGTTGAACAGCCATATTAAATGTTGCTAGCTACTACTTCACATATATTTTTAAAAACGATGCACCTGACAAAAGTAACTTTTAGGAATAAAGAAGGAGAAGGGATGTACGTTGTTTTTTTCTGACTCTCTCTGCTTTCTCCCCACAGCGTGAATGCATCTCTATTCATGTGGGTCAGGCTGGAGTTCAGATAGGAAATGCTTGCTGGGAACTCTTCTGCCTAGAGCATGGCATTCAGCCGGATGGCACCTTCAAGGATCTGCCCAATAAACTCAACTACGATGACTCTTTTACCACATTTTTCAGTGAAACAATCAATGGGAAGCACGTGCCCCGGGCTGTAATGGTGGACCTGGAACCAACTGTAGTAGGTCAGTACAGAAACAAACCTGGAAAAGTGGAAAATAACTTACTCTTCCCAATGTCACTGGTGTGTCGCCAGTTTTCTCTGGAACAATAAATTGTCTCCTTCAGATCCTGACAGCAAAAAGTTAATTTTCTCGTGACACAGAGAGCCAGATTCTATCCTGCCTCAATTATCTCCATAGGTGTATGTAAGAACATAGGAAGAACAGGATACCCAGTAGTTTCAGAATTCAACTATGGTTTTTGTGCATTATACCTTAAGTCAATGGGAAACAGCAGTTAAATAGTTAGTGCACATAATTTGCATGACTTTTCTTCGTAAGAAAAACTAACTCTTGGCCATGTCTTTAGTGACATTTTGTCATGGGAATGCTGCTTTTCTCTAATTCAGATTCAAAGGGGAAGCCTGATAAACTTCTTTCAGGAAAGGGGGGATTTCTGAAAATAGGGACATATGTCAAAACTTTTTTTTTTTTCCCTCTGGTCAGTACAAGCAAAAGAAGAACTTACATGGCTGAAGAGTAGTCACTTCATAAATCAAGAGACAGCTACAATGAAAAATTGTTTAGGAGGCAGCTTTTCCTTCTTCAGCATGGGGTTTTGGGGTCCGTCCATAGCTGAAAGCTTGCACATATTCCAGCAGCAGTGATCCTGGAGCACAGCCACGCAGCTTATTGTAATTTCTCTTTCTTGGGCAGATGAAGTACGGGCTGGGACTTTCCGGCAGCTTTTCCATCCAGAACAGCTGATAACTGGAAAGGAAGATGCAGCAAATAACTATGCCCGTGGCCACTACACTATTGGAAAAGAAAGCATTGATATAGTACTTGATCGTGTTCGTAAACTGGTAAGTTCCAGTAATTCTGAAATAGAAATTGAAATTTTGAAAATGAAATCATTTTGCTAATGGTTCAGAAAAGAAATTGCAAGACACACAGAAACATCATTACTACTCTAAGAGAGAAAAGCCATACAGCGTACTTAGCAGTTTTATGGCTACATATAGATATTCTAAAAAGGTGGTTCTGAATATGTAATTCTTCATTTTAGCACAGCATTAGAGCACCGCTACAGATATGGCAAGGGCAGTTAGGTAGTTCCTTATCTTTGTTTTCAGCTAGGCTAACTAGAAGTGAGGTTCAGAGACAGCTCCATGGATAGAGTCAAATTTTTACGTCCTGTGTTGATCTCCTCAAGATACAAGATCACTAGTCCTTCCACATGAAAAGCTGAGCTGAACTGTTCCATACATTACTGCTGACTGCTTTCTCTCTACCTCAAAATAAGCTCAAGGCTACCTCAGCAAGGTAACCTTTAAATCTATCTTTGGGCTTTCTCTTTTATTTTCTAGACAGATGCCTGCTCAGGGCTACAGGGATTCCTGATTTTCCACAGCTTTGGCGGGGGCACTGGCTCTGGTTTTACCTCCTTACTGATGGAGCGCCTCTCTCTGGACTACGGAAAGAAGTCCAAGCTCGAATTTGCCATCTACCCTGCTCCCCAGGTCTCCACTGCTGTTGTGGAGCCCTACAATTCTATCCTGACCACTCACACCACCCTGGAGCACTCAGATTGTGCCTTCATGGTCGATAATGAGGCTATCTATGATATCTGCCGACGAAACCTGGACATCGAGCGCCCAACGTACACCAACCTCAACCGCCTCATCAGCCAGATTGTCTCCTCCATCACGGCCTCTCTGCGCTTCGAYGGGGCCCTCAACGTGGACCTCACCGAGTTCCAGACGAACCTGGTGCCCTACCCGCGCATCCACTTCCCCTTAGTGACCTACGCCCCCATCATCTCTTCGGAGAGAGCRTATCACGAGCAGCTCTCGGTGGCAGAAATCACCAGCTCCTGTTTCGAGCCCAACAACCAGATGGTGAAGTGCGACCCGCGGCACGGCAAGTACATGGCTTGCTGCATGCTCTACCGCGGCGACGTCGTTCCCAAAGACGTCAACGTGGCAATTGCCGCCATCAAGACCAAGAGAGCCATCCAGTTTGTGGACTGGTGTCCAACTGGCTTCAAGGTGAGGGTGCTTCTCGGTGACGTTAGGGCAAGTTCAGTCTAGCTGAAAACTTGCATTTAAAATTTTAGGTCTTGTATTCTTTCCATTTGTCAGAAAAATGAATGTCTAGAATATTTGTGTGTGTAAAACATGGCCTTTCTCCTTTGGACATGTCATTCACATAAGACTCCTAAATATTTTTGTAAGTGGAATCTAAAATCTGAACAAGTATTAACTGAGTTTTGAAAAAGGCAGTGAGCGTTCCCTCAGAAGTATTGACAGAAACTAAATAAATACTGCTTAAATATATTCGATATAGAAAGTGCTGATACTAAGGAAGCTCTTAGTTAATCCATCAGATATAGAACATTATCCCGCCTCCCTCTTCTTTTTATATAGCAGTGTTGGGAGGCATCTTTTCTACATTAGCAGTGGAAAAAATCTATGTCATACAGAAGATGGTTTAAGACATCTGACTAACCTGGAAAACAATTTTTCTGCCCTGGCTTACATGGAATGTCTTGATGACACTGTATGTTTAGTGCTCCGTAACTGTTCAGAAAGGTAGGAAGTTACTTCCATATATTAAACAGAAAAATAATACAGACAAATACCACCACCATATATCATACTGGCACTTCTGGTAATTTTCTTAGTTCCTGCACCACTCCGTCCCAGTATCTATACCTCTACTCATATTTTTCCACTCTTTGACTTCTGTTTTCTGCTCTTGCCTTGCTCATCCTCTCACATTCCTGTTACAGGTTGGTATCAACTACCAGCCTCCCACAGTTACCCCAGGAGGAGACCTGGCCCAGGTTCAGCGAGCAGTCTGCATGCTGAGCAACACCACAGCCATCGCAGAAGCGTGGGCAAGGCTTGACCACAAGTTTGACCTGATGTACGCCAAGAGGGCCTTTGTGCACTGGTATGTGGGGGAAGGCATGGAGGAAGGCGAATTTGCAGAGGCCCGGGAAGACCTGGCTGCCCTGGAGAAGGACTATGAGGAAGTGGGAACTGATTCCTTTGAAGATGAAAATGATGGGGAGTAATTTTAAAATAGACTTTGTCCCCTAGTGAGCATGGAATTGTCTCTGTATTGCTTTATTGCAAGTGTCTACCATGAGGTGACCTCTTTGTGTGTAATATACAGAAATTTAGAAGGGGTCATACCTGGCCATTTTTGTTCCATATATCACGGGTATTTTCTTCTGTAAGATATTATTATTTGTAGTAATGGCCCACCACTCACTATAACGCAAGAGGACTCAATCTCTTTGCTTCCACATTTAATGTAAGCCTCTTCAAGCTCTGAATACACAGTAAAACCACTGTGTAAAAGCTTATAACAGAGCAGAGTGCAACAGCTTAGCTTTAAAAGTTCAAATTTGACTTGCCTTCTCCTTTTGCTTTTTCACATGAACTCACAGAAATGGGTCCTCTGCTCTGTGGTTTATGATCCTCTCAGTGAACTTAATGACCTAAAATGACCTAATGACCTAAATTTGACATTTAATTCTTCTGTAAAACATCCACTTCTGATAGAACAGATATTTTCCTAAGAAATGGTTAAGCAATGCCATTTTTCCACATATGGGAAACATACCTGTGTTGTGAATATAAGTAACATTTTTGGTTGGGTCCAAAAATTACACAGTTATAGCGAGTTCAGGATTTTTTTTCCTGTGTCTCTATGAAATTGCTTAAATGAGAAAGTTCTGTCGAAAAGAGAAAAATGTCTTTGCATCATCCCTAATTAGTTAAAAATGTTTCACAGTTCCGTACTCTATCTGAATGGCTCTTCCTCTGCAAGTAACAACCTTTCCTTCATCCAGTAGGCCTCACTGCTGTCTGTGGCAATCTTTAGTGGACTACCTGCAAGTGAATATGCAATACAGGTATTTCAATGTACATTCAAAAATAATTCAAAGCAGTATGAAACCTCAGGGATTTATAGGATTCACAATTTGTTAGGCAACGACAACCATTCTCTCCTAGAAACATCCTCAGCAACATTTTATCTAGATCTTCGCCAGGGAGATGTTTGCATCTCTGTTGGCAGCTATAGTTCCCAGTATATCATCATATTCAATATGTATTTTCTATGTATTATAGGCATTTAGCTATCCAATCAGTAAAACATTATGTACTTATGGAGTATTCAAAATGCTTTTGTTTAGGAAAACATCCCTATTCAGGATATAATTGATTATGTACTTAAAATAAAACAACACGAGAAAGTATTATTTGATCTAACGGGAGCTAAGGTCTTAAATAGCTTCCGCCACAGTTCTGTCCTGACTTGCAAGCAAAAATCAGAAACAGAGAAAACTTCATACATGTAACACAGCTAAATTAAAAGAACTTGTGACAAATCTTAACTTGTTCACCTATCTTGTAATTTAAACTTTTAAGTCTTTTATGTTTGTGTGAATAAATTTTGCAAAAAGATACATAATAATTTTAAAAAGTGACAAAAATGGCAGATGAAGTGCTTGTTCTGTTCCTTGGCAAACTGCTGAAAGAGATACAATGAAGAAGCTGTTCATCCAGCGTGGAGTAATTTACAGGTTCTGAATCACTGGGAGTGCAGTGCCTAACTCATTGGATGTTTTTGATGTCACCTAGATCATTAATGTTACGTTTTATTTTACTTGCAAAGACATTTAGGAATCAAGAATCCCATATCTCACAGTAGTCAAGCCACTCTTTGGAATGCATTGGAGAAAAGTTTCAAGGTGCTAGTCATTAGTGGTAGTCATCAGAAGCTAACAGCTTTGATCAAAGGGAGCCCTGAGTTCCCAGCAGACAGTGTAGTTAGACTCACGAATATACTTCCCTTTTTAGGCATCCCTTACCTCAGCATACTTTCTGGGCTTAGATTTGTGTGTGACATGCCACAATTGACTTTCACAGGCCTCCAAAAACCCTCCTTATTGTGTAGTTGTTTTTTGAGGACAGCTTTGTTTGGCTTTGGACGTGGGCTGCTTTCTGCTGCTATTCTGGGTCACAAGAAGCTCTTTAGCATAGGTCCTCTGAATTCTGTTCTCTGTTCTCTATTGCCTTATCCAGCCCTCATACTTGCGACCTTGGCATCCAATGGCTCTACTTCAGAAGATGCAGTCTTCATATTGAGGATATTTACGTATTCTTAAGAGGATATATTAAACTAGTTTGAAGAACATGGAAGATTGTGGTGTTATTTTAGGTATACACAGCAGCTTTAAAATCAGTTATGCAATGCTAATGTATCCAGTAGCAGTAAATAAAGTCTCTGTGTGTAGTGAGACTATGCAGGATTCCTGTATTCAATTCCTACATTCCCTCTATAGCTGCTAAATGCCTATATGATGTGAGATGGATCCTGCAAGTTTGGGCTACTTAGCCATGTTTTTCATCCCCAGATTCATTTTTCTCTAACATCCACAGAAGTTAATAACTGTGAGGCATGAGTTGAAGGCTCAGCACAAGTGGAGTTCAGCACATGAGCAGTTCACAGGTGCACTGAAGGGGCACTTCAAAGACACTAGTGAGGTTGCAGAAAGCACGAAAAAAAAAAAGGCAACTGGGAAGAACCACCTGGAATCCTAGATAGCTTGTGGAAGGGAGAAAGGTCTTTCCCCTTCCAAACCCCTCATAATCTAAAAACCTAATCCTATAGGTAGAGAGAGCAAGGAAGAGGATGGTGATGAAAGAAAATGGAAGGACCTGAGCTTTAGGAACCTCCTGGTGGCTGTTGCTGGGCACAGAAGTGCTGTCTCAGACCAATCTGGAGCTCCTAGATGAATGTCTGCCAGTGTGCTCTGCCAAATCCCACAGAGACCTCTCACTGCCTGCCTGACAGAGACTCAATATTTGACCTACACAGAAGGACTCCCTAGTCGCTCTCCCATGCCGCTCCCCAGGCAGCAGGGCAGTGGTGTGCTGGACAGAACTGCTGACCTGACCTCTTGCATCTGTGACCTCCATCAGAGCGGAGCTGAGCCCTGGGGCCATCCTCCAACAAGCTGCACTCCCCTCAGGGTGCTGCCCCCTCCATTCCTTCTCCTGAAGCACAGGAACAACAGGGGAAATTCTGGAAAGTCCTGGTGTACATGTGGGAAGGATGGCTGCCTAATGCACATAATTTGATTCTTCAGGAGACACCTGACTCATGAGGTCAGAAATCGCTGGTGTCAAGCTGCTCTATGAGGCAGGTGGAGAATCTGCCCATCCCTGTTGAGTAATCCATATATATATGGAATATATATCCATATATATTGGTAATATATACGTGTATATATAATCTGTATATCTGTATATATCCACATATATAATCCATATATACAATGCAATATATCTCTATATATAATGTTGTAGATGATGTTTCAAAACTCCACCATCAAACAAGCAATTGCTTAGAGTTCTAATCTACCATATACCTGCATTTAAAAAATAATAATCTAAGATAGTTATTTATTTGGGATTATTCCCAGTGTCTTACAACTTACTTCCAAGCAGGCTGTTGTTAGCATTTTATTCAAGGCTACAACAGATACTATGCCTAACAAATACTTTTGCATAGTAAAGAATAAACACTAAAGTCCTGACACAGCCAGTCTCCTGAAGCAGCAAAACTGCCTGAGAAAAGGTGAGGTTTATTTGCTTTTTTTTTTTTTTTTTTTTTTTTTTTTTTCCCTAAAACCTCA